GCGCGGCCGCACAGCGCAGCGACGACGACGACGACGATCTGGACGACGGCGATGCGGACGAGGAGGAGGAGGCGCACGCGCGCTCCAACACCAAGAGCCGCAGCCGGGCCGGGCGCACTGGCGCGAGCAACTCGCGCGCGCGCGGTGGTGCTGCCGCTGCCAACTCGCCGCACACGGGCTCGACGTCGGTCAGCCGCGCCGAGAGCCCTTCGTCCACGGCGGGTGGCGCGGGCGACGACGCCGACGAGGCGCGCTACTGCTTCTGCAACAACGTGTCGTACGGCGACATGATCGGATGCGACGACGACGACTGCGAGCGCGAGTGGTTCCACCTCGGCTGTGTCGGCCTCACCAAGCCGCCCCAGGGCACCTGGTACTGCGAGGCTTGTCTGGAACGCAGGGCCAATGCGCGCGCCGCCAAGTCCAAAAAGTCCAAGAGCTCCGGCGGCTCCAAGTCCAAGGTTCGCCGCTAGTGCACCCCAGCTCTGCTTTGCTGTGTTTTTGTGTTTTACTGTATACCATCTCGTTCCCGTTTGTACTTTGCGCGGTCCATCAATCCGATGTCTCTGCTCCGTCTGGCGGCCTGTGGATCGAATCCGGTCCAGAATTGGATCGGCGATCTGGGCCGGAATCGGTGACTTTGGGCGTGGGTGCGGCGAATTTTCGGGGGATTTCTAGGCGGCGTGGCGTCAGCTGCGGTGCCACGGCGAGGATCGACTTGGGCCAATTTCGCACCTTTGCCTGTCGAGTGGCAAGTTTCGCAACACTCTTAGCCGAACCTCTGGCGGTGCGTTTGGAGCTTCGCGGAATCAGGAGCGGCAGAATCAAGCGCTGCCGAACAGGATCTGCCCAGGATCGCCCACGTCGTCGCTCGCTCGCATGGCCAGCATGTGACAAAGTTTGCTCCGGCCGCCGTGAATTCGATGCAAGGTGGCCAGGGGTAGAGGCTAGGGTGTGCCGCAAACCGTTTCGTGGCGGTTCGGATTGGGTATCGATGAGGCCGATCCGATTCGATACCAGTTCGCGCACGGCCAGGACCAGAGGCATGGCCGTCTTGGAGGCTCCACTTTGAGCAGCGACAAGATTCGGTGGCGCTTGCGTCGGCGCTTGCGCTGATGCTTGCGTCCAAGTTCTCCATAGCCAGTTTACACACTCCCCGCCGGGCCCCGCTCGTATCACATATAACCCCGACCACCCTCCTACGACCTTACCCTTTCATCTTTACCATACCCATTCCCACACAAGCCGACAAAGATGACTTCGCCAGCAGCCTCTCCTCCCTCTTCGGTGCCCTCGTCGCCACGAAGGAGCCTGTTCAGCCTTCCCGGGCTGGGCAAGAAGAACTACACCCCCTCTTCGGCTGACGGCGCCACCACGCCTGGCGGTCACATGACCACTATTGCGCAGACGCCTATCCTCGAGTCGTCGAACCCGCTCGAGAAGGCGGCCGTGCCCTCGGAGGCGCGCGAGCAGCAGATCGTTGGTGTGCCCGGCGCCAAGCTCGAGAACGAGGTGGCCAAGATTCTGATCGCGCTCGACGGCACCGAGGCGGGCGACAAGGCGTACAAGTACCTGCTGGAGAACAAGCTGCTCCGAACCGACAGCCACGTGTTCCTGTGCACTGTGCTTCCCGCCAACGTCATTTCCACACCCTGGGTCGCCGGACCGCTCACCATCGACACGGAGAAGCACAACGAGCTGCTCAAGCAGATCCGTGCGCAGGCTATCGAGAAGCTCGAGCCGTACAAGGCGCAGCTCAAGCAGAAGGGCTTCAACGTCACCATCCACGTGCTCCACGGCGACGCACGCGCGAGCTTGCTCCGCGTGGCCAACTACCACCACGTCGACCTCGTGCTCGTAGGCAAGAGGGAACGCAGCTGGAAGAAGGGCTTTGGTTCGTCGGGCACCGTTTCGAGCTACCTCGTCTCGCACTCGACCGCACCCGTCCTCGTCATCAAGTAGATACCTCCCGACCCTTGGCCCCACTCGTCATCAATACCTGATCGATAATAACACTTACGATTTGCAGCACAGGAGTGTAACGCCGTGTGAAATGTGCTGGAGAGCATACGCCAAACGGATACCAAAGATACAACAAGGAAACATGAGAAAACGACGGATGTGATCTCGGGACAAACGTCTACGCATCGGTCGCAGTGGAGATTTGCCTCGTGGGCAGAGTGCGAGGGATGTTGGCGGGCTGCCAGACGCGAGGCTACTCTAATGCTCCCTTCCAATCTGGAGCCAGCGTGTGTCGGGGATGATGTTGCCCTTTGAGTTCTTCTTGACCTCGAGCGCGCCCCTTCCCCAACCTGTTCCGATGACGCGTGCGTCCCAGGGCAGATTCTCGGGGTAGAGACCCTGCAGGCCCGAGTTGGGCGCGGGGCACCAGTTGAGCAGATCCGCGATCTCGGGTGCCGAGCTCATGTACGGGTGGAATCGGCGCGTGGGGTTTCGCTCGATGCGCTTGTCGCGCAGCCTGCCGTGGCATCCGTACATGTCCTTGTCAAACAGGTTGTACGCCTTGACCTTTTCGCCGCGGTACTGGAGCTGCGACTCGGCTTCGCTGATGTCGTCGTCGAGGCCGACGTACTGGAAGGTGCGCTCGCCATTGCGCAGGAAGCCCTGCGTGTTCCACCGCACCGCCTTGGCGTGCAGCTCCTCGAAACGGCCCTTCTTGAAACCATAGCCGACGACGGTGATGCGGCCGGGGTAGTGGCCGGTGTACTCGCGGAAGCGCGCGATGGAAAACAGCAGGTTCTCGAAGCTGTCCAGCGCAAAGTTCTCGGTGGTCATCCTAGCATCCTGCAGTCCATGCAGTGTGGCGACGGCTGCGTTGGCGTGTGCGAGCTGACCCACGGAGGAGGAGCTAGAGGATGACGACGCGGAGGTGGAGTTGGAAAGGCTGCCGGCGATCATGGGCAGCTCGAGACCGGCGGATACAGCGAGCGAGAAGTAGGACTCGGCCTCGGTCTGGAGCGAGTTGGGTCTTGTCTGACCTCCGGAGAAGATGAGGAGAGCGCTAGGGTCCTCGTTGGTGAGCTGGAGGCCTTTTTCGATGTGCTTGTAGAAGGTCTTTACGCTTCCGCCCTTCTGGTAGTCCTCGAGCACCCAGTTCTCGTCTCTATCTTTGCCCTTGACGTCGCAGCCGGCCCAGATGGCGTGGCCTGTGACGATGACGAGGTGGTTGAGGTGGTCGGTGCCGTTGCGTGGCGGTGGGACGCTGTTGCTGAGCTGGTCGGGAGTGTAGCCGTGGAAGGACTGCCAGGAGTGCAGGCCGAGTGGTGGCGCGTTGCTGTGGCGCGAGAAGAGCATGTAGCGCAGGTTCATCAGACCTGAGAGCGCGGCGAATCCGAGCAGCAGCACCACGCCGAGATTGGTGACTCTGGAGCGGGCCGAGAGGCGGTCGTGGAGCGAGACGCCTCCGGGCTGGCCACCACCGCCGTTGAGTGCGAGCGAGATGCCCGACTTGCGGGCCCCCGTCAGAAGTGATGTGGATCCGGACGCCTTGGGCACCATGGCGATAGGTATAGCGGAGGTGAGTGGTTGTTGCTCAAGACGAAGGAGGGAAGGTGGGAGTGTGCAGAGTGCTGAGTGCTGCTTGTGGAGCCATCCCCGCGCCCATCATTCGCAGCAATCACGTTTGTGCTGCTTTGCTGCAGCTGCGCTTCTCGCCCTTGTCAGCTGGAGAGCCTACCGGCCCACGCGATCCCAATTTTAGCCTGCGGCCTCGCCGTTCCGTCTGCTGCCTCTCGCCCGTCTGTGCGTGCGTGTTCGATTTTTCGAAGCGGCCTTCAAACAACCCAGCCAGGCAGCCTGCCAGGCAGCCAGCCAGGCAGCCAGAGCGCGCACCCACTTTCACCTCGGCGTTACTGCTCTCAGGGTGCATACGCTTCTACCCGAACACCGAGCCCAGCATGTCATCCGCAACCATCCACTTGATTGTATAACGATCGCCACTCGAAGGCTGGCCGTATCCGTCACATGTCTTTTGCCCTGCTTGACCGGGTGTTGCCATGAGCTATTCCAGGGACTTGCCTTTGACGTGCGTTGGGCGCCAGCATCTTGACTGCCGCTGTCGAAGCTTTGGCGAACCATGCAAAGAAACGAAACTCACGCTGAAACCAAGAAATCGAGGCCACGAAACTCGGAATTCTATTCAGGCTTGTTCTTCATGGCGACGTAACAATGCAAAACACATCCGCACCTCCACATCTGCACGCACGGCTGCCTCAGTCAGCCCTCCCTGCTCGACAAGTCATCCTCTGACGCTGCAACACATCCACCTTCGCCGAGAGCCACCAACCACACCACGCCACGCCAGCGACCATGCCAGATATCCGTCAGAAGAGCGTCGACTTTCTCAGCGACTCGATCGCAGCAGCTACTGGTGGGCAGGCAGCCGACTCGGCAGCCCAACAGCTCGAACAGGCCATCTACGACAAGGCGGGCCAGTCGACGTCCAACGACTACCGCGGCGAAGTTCGTAGCATCGGCCTGACGCTCAAGAAGGACAACCCACAGCTTGCGCAGGATGTAGTCCAGGGTCGCATCGCCCCAACAGATCTCGTCAACATGTCGCAAGAGGTAAGTTCAACTCAGATGTCACCAGCGACGGGCTCGCTCCTAAACCTCCATTCTTGTGCGCTGTGACTGCAGGAGATGAAGACCGAAAAGCAGGCACAGGAAGATGCCGAGCTTCGGCAACAGAATCTGGATGCGTCCGTTGGCGTGGACGAGCTGGATCCACAGTACGGCACGATGGCCACCTCGCAACAGGGCCGCTCGCGCATGCAAGAAGAGGCCACCTACGGCGAAGCCGGCGAGGCCTCGTACGACGGCGGCGGAGAAGGCGAGTTCAAGGCACGAGCCCAGCCCAAAGTCGGTGAAGCGATGCGCGGGATCGAGTTCGAAACCGGTGGCCTTTGACATGTCCATACAACTTCACACGCAGCTTCACAGCAATCGCAACAGCCACTGCCGCCGTCCTTTGAGATAATAGTACAATTGAGTCGTAGCTCCGACGGCAAAAGGTCGTCGTTTGGGTGTAAGAAAAATGCTGCAGAAGGGTACAAATACAGGTGATGGAAATGCAAGCGGGGAAGCTGATGGGATCCAAGCAGAAGCGGTCTGGTCTCGACCCAGCCATGTCGGCCCCTTGGTATCGTTGGGTGAGGGAGAGTGTATCACCTTTTTACATGGGGCGACCGGCAGCTGCGGCAGCCGCTTGCGCGCGCGACTCGGCCAGCTTGGCCTGCTCCTCGGCGCGACGCTTCTTGCCTTCTTCCGCCAGGATCGCGAGCGCGTCGTGGTCAATCTTGGGCTCCACGTGCTTCTCAAAGTTGCCGGCACTGAGGTTCTTCTCGTATGCTTCGCCGATGGCAGCGAAGAGCTGGTCCAGGTTCTCGATCGCGTCGCGCAGCGCATCCAGAGCCGAAGCGCGGTCTACGAATCGCATGGTCGAGAAAGCAAGCGTGGAAAAAGAGTCAGCGAACTGCATCATTGTGACTCGGTTCGACGACGACGACGCTGCCACCGCTTCGAGATGCACGCCTTGGACCATAAAGTGGCTCAGTAGGAACGATTGTACAAGAATCTAAAAAAAAACTTCGTCAAGCTCCACGCAACCTGGCAGGCTGATGGGCACGTACGATCCCTTTTTCTCATCTCGGCCGGCCAAGGCGATGGCGATCTCGTGCGGCAATGTGCGTCGTGTCGTCTTTTGCAGCGTCGCGGTGCGGGAACTTACCATACATCTGGACGCGGAGGTGGATCTTGTTTTCCGAAGGATGCGGGTTGCTGTAACCGCAGAACTCGACTCGGGGGCTATGATCGGAACAAAAGGCAACGGCACGTCAGCGTCTTTGATTCCAACCCGACTCCAACGGTGTTGAGACCATTGCCAGTGTCACCGGTCTTGCGAGCGACGAGGCCTCAGCAACGAAGAATTCCATTATTGTATTTCCCCCACCACTACTATGTACCAATGCGACTTGGCCAATTCGTGTAAAGCACAATAGTATAAAAGTATCATCTCGGGCAGCGTCGTCGGATGCAAGGCTGGTCGTGACACTGGCAAGGTTGTACGTGAGGGCAGCAACTTACTCTTTCATGATCATGTATCGGAGCGAGTTGCCGAGCGTGTGGTCCTCCTCCTTGAGACAGAAGGTGACGGCGGAGAAGTCGGGCTCGTAGCCAGGAAGCAAGGTAAGCTTGTCGGCGATGGAGGCGGGACCATCTCCCATCACCTCGGCGAGGTTGGGGTTCGACATGTTGCCAAGCAGTGCGAACCAGCGACGGATAGAGAGATCAAGGGTGTTGAGGTGAAGAGGGAGGACGATTGAGCTCCAATTGCGGTTCCTTGCCTCGAGACGACGGACCCAAAATTTTCGGAGAGCACTTTCTTCCAACACTCCACCTTTTTGCCGCCTCGGCTAGCTGATCGAGGTCGAGTGTTTTCGCACGAGAAAACGCAGCGCACCCGATCGAAATGGGATTTTCCGATCGAAAATCCAGCACGGCTGGCTGGTTGGCTGGCTATCGGTGAGGGCGCGTCTTGGTCGGTTGGCGCCGACAAAGCAGCACCAGGCCAGTGTCGGCTGAGCTCGATCCTGAGCAGCGCGCGCGAGTGTGGCAGAGGGTGGGAAGAGGGAGGCAACAGCGTGTCGTGATTCGAGCTCGAGGCGGCGCCAGGGCAGAGGCCCTCGAATCGCCAAACTGGTGAGGCTGAGCCCTCCTCACCCAGGCCCGCTACTGGGTTCGCCTCGCCTCGCCTTTGCTCAGGGAGCTGCGAACCGTCCGAAAATCGCATCGACATCCCATCCTGCCCTGGCCTGCCCTGGCCTGCCCTCCGCCGCAACTTGCAACCGCGACCGCGAACGCATCCGCCTCTGCCACTGCATCCACCTCGCAATCCCAGCTCCAACACGCTTCGCATCCAATATTCCTTCGTGACTGTTGGTCTCGTTGCGTAGCGCCCCCTTGCCACCGCCCACGCCGCCGTCGACGCCACGGCTCTCGCCAATCTCGGCATCGACCCCACCGTCCTTCACCTCGGCCGCCATCGCCGCACCCACCCTCGCCATCCATCCCGCCCGCGACCGCACGATCGTTCATTCATCCGCGCTTTCATCAGCCGCGCGCCGATTCGTCGTGATCCACCTCGATCCCCTAGTCATCACTACATCCGGTCATCCATCACGCTCCTTTCATCTCGACCGTCGCTGCAGCGATCCATCCCGCGCCGCGCGCATCACCTCTTCACCTCGGCTCCCTCGACGCCACGCAACTGGCAATCCAATCGAGCCCGACGCGACGCGCTCTTCCTACCTCTTGGCTGCTCGAGCACATCTCGCCTCCTCCTCCGTTGCTTGTAGAGCTCGCCTCGTTGACCTGGACGGACCATCGTCATGTCGTCCACCATCGCCAACGGCGCCACCAACGGCTCTGCGCCCAACGGGCAGCAGCCAGCGCTCAGCGCGCAAGCACAACAGATGCTCACAGGCATGACCAAAGAGAGGCTCCACGGCATGATTGCCCGCATGCAGCAGCTCAAGGCCAGCGGCGTCAACGAGTCCACCAGCCAGGAGTACGCAACTCTCGTCAGCACTCTCAAAATGTTCCAGCAGTATCAGGCGATGCGCCAGCAACAGGCCGTCGCCATGCAGGCGCGAGCAGCCGGTCAGCCCCAAGCTCGCGCCTCGTCTACAGCGCAGCAGCCATCCGCCCCCTCACCATCGGCCGCCACCCCTGCCGCTTCCGCTACCACGCCAGCTGCCGACGCTTCCAGCACCAACGGCATCGTCGTAAAGACCGAGAACGACATCGCTCGCTCCCTCAGTCCCGCCAACTTTACACCTGAGCAGCTGAATGCGCTCAAGACGCAGATCATCGCCTTCAAGCTCATCTCGCGCAACCAGCCGCTCCCCTCGCATCTCCAGGAAGCCATCTTGGCCGCCGACCGAGAATCCGAAGCTCAGGACGCCAAGAAGGCCGAGCCGCTCGCCAGTGCAACTCAGGTCGCCGCTGCCGCCATCGCTTCGGCCGACAAGGGCACCACGGACGACGCAAGCAAGCCCGGGTCGTCCAAGGAAGGCGCTGCCGCCGCCGCCGCCGCCGCCGCCGCCG